ATAATGATAATGATAATGATAATGATAATGATAATGATAATGATAATAAAGAAAGAGAAAACCATAAAGGAAAAGAAGGAAGAAACCATGGGCAAAAAGTAAAGTAACATAGACATTCATTAAAAATCCATACCTTTGTAACCAAAAAAATTCCTCTGCCTACATTTTTTTAACTAACTCGGTCTATTTTTTATAACTTAATATGCAAATTTCATTGATTGGTTTCCACAATTGGATTTGTGCTGGTTTTTTTGTTCTATTTAATTATTTTCTTCTCAGAGACATTTTGTTGTAAACATTTTTTTGAACTTTTTCCCTATGAGGAAATCAGGTCAAATTGAAGTGAACAAATTGCATTGTAATGAAAAGATTAATAAATCCAGCACTGATTATTAGTGTCTTTCAGGAAGGTCCAATTACAGAAGTGTCGTACAATCAGTTTTGATCACTAAAAACGAGATCAAAACGACCTAACGGAAAGAGCGCGCGTGCCCTAGTTGACGCACGGGAGTAGGGTTGATTTTTGTAACAATAATAATCATTATTATTATCAAAATTAAAGTCACTATGGCAAGAAAATTCTTTTAAAATTAGTCTTTTTAAAGTTACGAATGTAGTTTACCTCTAATTGACCTTAATTTCATTTCAGTGTTTGTGATGATGGTCCGAAAATAGTTCCAATAATACCATCTTATGTTTTTGTCTGTTGTCGAATACCGGGCATTGAGGTTATATAAATGGTATTGAATCCAAAACCCTCCTCGGAAATAAGATGCATAGTTTACGTCTTCCTTGTGGTCATTATCACGATCATAAGTAGAAAACCAAATATTCCTTTGGTTATGCAACATCTTCCCTGCGGTTCCTTCGCTATACCCTTGCACAACTAACTCATATTTCTTGGACTCGTCTTCAATCATTACGTTATAAAAATCAAAGGCCTTATCATTGGTTGAATCTTGCAGTTCGATCAGGAGTTGATGATAAGTTGGAACGATCCGCGTTATTTGATTATTCCCAAGCCAGAACTCTCCATTTGGATTCCCAAAGCCAACCTTATAGTCATCCCAGTTTCGATGGAAGTTAACAGATCCATCCATTCGCCTCTGAAAAACTACCCATCCTCCGCCATTCGTTTGTTGGTCGCACATAACACTGAAGAAACCGTTGTTATCGGGACTTATGAGATAGAAGCCGTCGCTTTTGTAACCTTTGCGTAGCAGGTCCAAACAGTCGCGACCTGCAATATATTGATGTCGTTAACAGACAATGCAATGCTTGGAAGCATGGTACGCGTAATAGTCCCATTTAGGTTGACGAGAGATTTTGAGTCGTGGCGGGTTCTAAACTGTTAGAGGGAATGGATGGAAGGGGATGGGGAGTGGGGGAGGGACTAGGAATTATATTTATAGAAGAAAATTTAATATATGAATAATGCAACAAAATCCTCTTAGCTTGTTTCGAAGGGATAGATAAAAGAGGTTAAAGATTTTTCCTTTTGCTCTCAGCTTTTGATCAAGTAGGTGTGATGTTGAAATATTGACGATTACTTGAGTGATGGGTAAATCTTGGCATATATTTTTTTACAACATTCAGACGAGAGAGTACAGTGACGTGCTTCGTACTCTCTTGATGCAAATGATACTGGAATGCATGCGCAAATTAACACAAAACCCCAACTTATCTTGATCATCCAGCATGAAATCTGGCTTTGATAACTTAATAACAAGAATGGGGAAATGAATTTGGTTTCCAACGCGTGCGAGAACTTGATTGAGCTTGACTTTGAGGCTAATTAAAAGTTGTGCCACGAGACTGTGAACTGATGGTTTATTGGCCGAAAGAAATGCTGTAACACGTTCAGTTTTTGCAAGAAAATAAAACTTAAATAAAACAATGAGATTTATCTAATTTTGTCCTTACCTTTAGCAATGGGACAGGTCGAGTTTCGAACCAATACATTTGACAACTTTGCCTCTTTAATAAGCCTAGACCACGGTATCTTACTGCCTTGTTCACTATCCTGGCACGATTTGGACATTCGTTCTAATACGCTTTTGTTCACAACGTTATTCCATAGGTTAATTCGACTCATTTGGCCTGTAAAGTTTCGCGCGAAACCACTTTCGAGGGATGACTCTTTGCCGATAATAAGTTTCCCTGATGAAGATAGTGTGGTCACGATTGACGGAAAGTTTTCAGAACTGCTTTGAGGCTCACCATCCAGATAAGCGTTCACGTCACCCTTAAGACCATCCCACGAAGTACATACATAGTGCCATACTCCGTCGTGTAAAGGTTTCGATGCAATGAATTTTCTGAGGTTAATCACAAATTGAAACTATTACTAGAATGGACGAATTTTCTTGTTTTAGACCACTTGTCATTCCCTAGAGTATCATTTCTTTGTTTAAAGAATCCTAGTCAATTACAATGCACTGAGCGCCTGAAACAATTGAATGCTACCCAGAGCGCCAATTTCTCTCCAAGGCAGTGAAGTCATTTCCATCGGCCTTATAATCTATCATACCAGCTAGATGTTTTACGACCATCATGATATAATGATAGATAGTCATGTTATACTTTTCGTGAGAGTTCATAAATTTTGACAACGAATCTAAGGTAGAGTTTCGACGTGTACAATATGGTTACCCTTGGACAACTAAAAAAGTCCTAATTTCACAAAGAAAATCTCTGAAAAATTCAACCTAATTGCTGGGGAATGAAATAAATGAAAATTTGGAAATTCGAGGACTTTCCCATAGAGAATTTGTAAAAATATTGCCTACACAAGAGATCGGAAGAGCTTTGAAAATGATGTAGGCGAACTATGCAAACAATAATATAGGCACGCAGTGCATTGTGGTTGACTAGGATTCGTTAACTGTTGCGCATGGGTGGCTGTTGACACGACAACTTTAGCTAGTTCAACAGTCACACAGACACGCGTATTCTTTTAATCTTTTTATTTATATTGCTAACGTCATAATCTCTATATTTTTATTTAAGCGTTGTAAATTTTGAAATGCACATCGATTTACCTTTCCTCCCCTCTAATGTAAACCAAGAGCTCGTTGGTTGCACCAACAGAAGAAGACGCGACATGAATATTCTTAATAGAAGCGACTTCCCAATCTAGATGAACATGATATTTGTTGAGTGCTGTGGTGTTAAACCAGAAACATGCTGTCAGCGCTCGTAAGTCTGATAGGTCCACCATGGATATCTCAGCAAATGGTGGGTTTCCATTATCATTAGGAAAAACYCAGTCGATGGCCTTATGATCAACTGCAGTCGCTACCTCTGAAAAAAAAGAAAAAAGAATCCTTATTTATAAGATTTGATGAGCTACAATATTTAAGAAAACTAGTTGAGAATTTTAGAAGGTCGTTAGGATATTATTATTGATATAAAGCGCATGTATGTTCCCTTACAAAGATCCCCTCTCCCCAAAATCATGTTTGTTCTGGCGAGAGGAAGTCGTCAGTACCCACTGGAACCAACATTGTGGTACGTAGGGGGGAGGGGGGTAAGCTAATTTAGGTAATATTTTATACGGACAATTCTATTTTTTACGACAAGATCGAAAATTCTCAACTGATTCATTTTTGTGGCGAAGATTGTAGATTGTATGAGAATTTGTGAGAAGAAGGAAGGGAACGACGGAGGCCCTTCATCGAACTCATTCAGCTGGTTGATACTAAGCAATATCATATGTTTATACCTCCTAGTTTATTTCTAAGCTTGATTCAGTTGATAAATCTTCGTGGTTTAGCTTCTGTACGAATTATACTATAAGCTGATGTTTTTATCGTCCAAGAGACGTTTGTATAGAAGCTACAATTTTTGTTAAAATAGTTGAGAATTTTAGAATTCTAATGAATACTTATCTTAACATGGACGACGACACGCATGATTAGTCCCATTTTACAACAACCCCATCCCAAAGAGAAACATGCTACCTGCTGAATCAACCATCCAAATTCCACCTTTTGATAATATCAATATGATCAAAAATTCTCTGCTATTTTTATCCAAGTTTGTAGCACAATGCATTATATTTGCTATCTGTGGAAAGGTGTGTGTCATTTATATCTTTCAGTGCAGTCTTTTGTTAAGTGATTAGCAACGATTGTCCTGCGTTTTCTAAAGGAATTAAATAGGATGGGATTTGAACACCTATCGTTCTACGTCTAAAAATGATTATAGGTGGAACCAAACTAATAATAGGCCATTTCACGGATCCCGTTACTCAGCCTCAGGCCCCGTCCACACGTATCCGGAAACTTTTGTATCCGCAAATTATTTTTTGCGGATACGAAAATGTTTGCGTCCACACGCAGCGTATTCGAATCGTTTTCACCGTCCACACGTATCCGATTTCGTAAAATTTGCGGATACGGACACAAAAATTTGCGGACACGTGTGGACGCAACCCGTATCCGCAAAAAAAAAAAAAATTGCGGACACAAAAATTTGCGGATACGTGTGAACGGGGCCTCAGCCTCGTCAGCGTGTAATTATTCTTTAGAATTTGACTACAGTCCGCAGTAATGAAAGAAATTTACGCATCAACGAGCAATTGAAACACTTTAAAAAAATTTTCACAGGTTGTAGGCAATTCCTAAAGAATATATTACACGCTGACGAGGCTGAGGTTGAGTAACGGGATCCGTGAAATGGTCTATTCAGAGCGAATTTTTGGACAATTTTAATTTATTCTCGCTCGCTTCGCGAAACTAGTGCGCCAATTTCATCATCTCAGTGCGTCAATTTCATCATCTTATTCAAGAGATATTGTTTGTTTTGTGATCACAACCATCGAAAACTCAAATATGCGGATTGAACGCCATTGTGATTGCGCTCGATCTAAAAAAGATATCAAAAACCTGAGACAACGTGTTGAATTTCATTRTCTACTTAGTATGCTAATGTATTTATGACTGACATAGCGGAAACTGATTCTAATCCTGAAAAATCCTGCCAAATGTAGTGCGGTAAATTGTCAGTTCGAACCCAATAACGTTTTTGTGTTTTTGAGAATTTTAAATACGAATTTTCGACAACTGCGATTACTTATCTTCGATTATTTTGCTTTTATGAAAATTCTGTAAAGTCTGTGAACATTTTGAAGTAGCGCGCATAAGAAAAAAACCTCAGAGGCTAACAAACCTGCTGCTCTCGTTCCGTGATGGAATTGRAATTATAGGAGTTGATTTTTGTGGAGGGAGGAAAACCGGAGAACCCGGAGAAAAATCCTCGAAGCACAGGCGAGGACCAACTAGAAACTCTACTCACATACAACAAGAAACCCGGCGGGATTCGAACCCGGGTCGAATTGATAAGAGGCGAGCGCTCTCACCGCTATATACGCCACCCGTGCTTTCCTTAGCTGCGGATAGGGTCTATAGAGGAACAAATCCTCTCCTGATACCTTAATGCTGCCCCCTCTACACTAATGCGTTTTCGTTTGAAAACGAATACCTTTTCGATCGCTGACAGTCTTAACGATTAAAAAAGCTGAGATATTTCGAAAACACATGCATTTGAAATCGCTTTCCAGAGTGGGAAATTGAAAACGGAGGACTATCGCATTAATGTAGCAGAGGCTTATAAAAACGCTGACGCGGTACTCACAACGACACGTCTGTGTTTGCATCGCACAGATTATGATAATGCGTCATTTTCGATCACATTTGCAGGGTTTTTGCGATTGTTTTTGTGCGGAAAAAACACTTTCCAGCCGGTGGGTTGATGCAAGGGATTAATGCGTTTTCGGTGAGACGTAATTGAAGGCCGAAAGCGCATTAATGGGAATGTCCTGTAGTTGTCCGGCAAGGAAAAACGGCCAAAAGAAAAAAAAAANCAGCAAAAAAACAAACAAATAAACAAAACAAACAAATAAACAAAACAAAAAAAGAAAGGAAAAGAAAGAAAGAAAGAAAGAAAGAAAGAAAGAAAACCGCCAAAAGAAAAAAACAAAAACAAGAACAAAAAAATAAAACTACCAATGACAGTGAATGTTTAACTTACTAAGAATATTGTCGTTAAGGCCTTGCACAGCATGGAGCGCAGTTGCCAATGTTACCTGCGAAATATGTAATTAAATGTTAAGTATATTAGAATGGCTATTTTTATTCAATGCGAGGAAAGAAATAACAAAATTATAGCTACGCTGATTGTTTTCCCTTATTTGCCGTTTAGCTATAGCAATCGACGAACTCATGTCGCACCGAATTAAACGTTTGGAAATTCTAAACTTTCAGGGCCGGCTTCAACGAACAGCAGCATTTGCTAAATTWTAAAGGAATTTGAATTCATATGAAAACTCGAAGGCTAGAAAATGGCTTAGAATCGATCCCTGCTTAATATCTCGGTTATTAGAGTTTTTTAATTTAGTTAATTTTTGTTTTGGTTTTACTTCAGTGACTCTTGAGAACTATTCGCTATTTTTATCAAGACCTTTTCTCTGACACCTGCTTTTTCCAAAGTAGATGCAACTACTTCAAATAAATGGTAGAATTGTAAATTCCTTTACTCAGAATGGCTCCATTATTGCGAAAATGTTTACTTTTACTATGAGTGATTTTCCAATGGCGTTTCTCATTTTTTTACCATTTATCGATCTCACTTATTGTCTATTTTTTTAAAAATATAAATCAAATATATTTGTTATGTATTTTTACTGCGTATCTACGTTACGTCAGTCTTATCATGTCATGAATATCTTATCCGCCAAAGTAAATTAGGCACTGGATATTTTTTAATTTTGAAACATAGCAACGTTTTATTCCATTTCGACCTTTACTCTGGTTTCACGTAACAAAGATTGGGGTAGATATTTTAAAAACAAAAGATTCTGGAGATCTAGAAACGAATATTCGAGGTTTCGTATGGCAAAATTGAGTGGATTTATTGTGACTACCTCTCAATATCAGATAGGAAAAAWATATATAGGAAGAATGAAAGATGAGAAAGCATGAAAAAGTGAAAAAAAGAGGCATGATGTCCAAAACTGAGCAGAGCTCACATTAACTTATATAGATAATTCAGTTTYATCAGCAACACAACTAACTTAAAAGCATGGAAAAAAATCGAATAAATGTTTTGTTGTTTTGTTGCTTAAGGTTGTATAAGAAGTCTTCGTAGTATGTGAAACACAAAACAAAATTTGCGAAAAATACTATATATATATCTCGATCATATTCTCTTTGATCGATTAGTTGCTTGGGGACTTCCTTATGGGTCTATATTTCAATTTTAACCGCTTAGAGGTGGTAAGAACGTCAAGGTTGAATCCAAATCTGAATGTTTTTCAAAATCATTTAAAGGTGATTTCTTGCAATATACTAAACTAATACAGAGTTTGTTAGTATTGGAACTAAGACTGAAAATTGTGATAAACTGTTATTTTTCAAAATCGTTAAATAATGCTTGGCTTTTAAATGAATTTTTTTTCAGTTTAGGTAAAGTTAACAGCGATGATAAATTTTGAAACATTTAACATATCAATAACTACTCAAGGAAAATATTCGTTAATTTCGTTAAAATTGATATTACGATTCGACTTTAGCTTTCTAATCCTGTTAACAAAAATAACCCGAAAATTCTACTTACTGTTAAAAGGAATGTTGCTTTTCCCATTACTATAGCGTTGCTAATAGTATAGGCCCAATTAAAAAAGTAAAATCCCATATTCGACTCTGAGATGACGGTCGGGACGGTTCACCTCTCAGTCTTTGTTCAGGAGCTAAGAAACTGAAAAAGAGAAGCGCAAAARCAGGTGTTTTGGGTTTGTTTTCTACTTTCTGTTATTTGGACTGAATTTCAGTTCTGCACACCTGTGTAAAATAAAACAATACTATCTTAATTAGTACAATTTACTTGACGAAAATAGTTTTAAAAACTTTTATTATTTACTTTATTATTGAGTGGAATGGATCCTGATTGAGTCCGAGTACACACTGATCTACCGTGAGGTCAGTGTAGACCAGTTCCAGTTCCAGGGCAAACGTCGAACTAACCATGAGCTTAATTTAGTCGAACCTATTGCATTTGAAATAGGTTCATGTCTAGTACGACGTTTGCTGCAATTGAGAACGACTCTATTGAATAGGTTCGAGTACAGCATAAGTTCGACAAGCCAAGTCGGACATTACGACTCTGGAGCGACTTTGCGGCAAACGCCGTTTTAAACAATTGCCGAACTAAATTCATAAATTATGCAAAATGGGAAATCAATCATGCAAGTCGCATGACTTACACCAAAGCCGTGAAAACAACCACTCCCCCACCTTCCAAACACTCTTCCCCTCCCCCACCCACTGGCGAGCATGCGCTATACAAAGACGAGTGATGAACGAGGCCGAGGAGCTGCACAAAGTTTTTAAAATTTTCAAACATCTTCAACTCAACTGAATGAAAGAACAATCAATTAATATTTCAYGGAGGTAACTTCACTTACTATCGTCAATAGTTATTATTTTGCTCCGTACGCTAGTAATATCATTTTACATGGACAACTCCACCATTGACACTTCACTAGCGACGACATACACATTAGAGTTTGATATGAAGGGAAATTCCTTTTAAAATACAATTAACAATACTGTTCATTAGCTGTAATCAAAACGGGAGAATAGTAGTTGAATAGGTAATTACGAAGCCGATATAATAATGAATTTGATTATAAATCTCCTTCATTTGCTATAGTTTAGTTTAAAATCTCGCTGATCCATAGAAATTTATAATTCTATTTTTCAGCTGATATCCAAAACGTAAATGTAATCAAACTAAACAGCAACGAATTCTTATTCTTGGGAAATCCAAGAAAAATACGTATACAAATCAAAAGCAAAAGATAATGCTTGCCCTAAAAATGAAATGTTTCTTTTCATGACGATTATCCACTTTAGCTTGAAGAATAATCTTAATATACGGGGTAAAAAGCTTCTTTGAATTCATGTCTTGGTACGCGTGCGTGCGTTCAATTTTGGCGGGAAAGTTCCCGCCAAATCCACAGGTACTCCGATATGAACAGGTTTGGTGTCACACCTCGCTACTAGAGCCAAATCTTCCAACCAACCGCCAATATAAACCCGTATTGGCGGCTCAAAATCGCAATAACTTATAACTATTTTGTTTTTTAAATTCTTTTTTTTTTTTAATCGACGGTCATTGTTGACTGAAAAAAGCATCGGCATAATTGCTACTATATCACTGGTCTAGGTAAACTAAAAAAATATTAACGAACCAAATAACAAACAACAACAACAGAAATAACAAATTATAACCACGACTACAAAGACAGAGAACAAAAAACCCGGGTCACTAGGTAAAATTGCGATTTGCACAGCATTAACCCTGATAACAATGCATCCCAGTAGACAAGATACAAGTTTTCCGCTTCAAATGCAGGTGCATGGAAGAATAGAAAGCAAGGGCGGATCCAGGGGGAGGGTCGGGGGGGTCGCGACCCCCCTGTCATTCCTGAGGTCAAATGGGCGTCCTGTGGTAAAAATGCGACTGGGATTCCTTTGCCCACAAAATTTACCCCTGAGACCCCCCCCCTTCAAAAAACCCTGGATCCGCCCTTGGAAAGGATTTACTGTGTGTACCTTCTCAGGAGGATCGGCTGATTCTCTCCCCTGATGTCTTCGGCCTACAACATTYTGAATATCGGCTTATGAGTTTATTGTTGTCAGGTCCGAAGTCCCAAGACGACTATACCTCAGCTTTGTCAGGCGGTTTTGGGCCGGGAGTATGGCATCATATAGTAGTAGTATATTCATTTTGTACTGATATCGAGTTTTTCTTGGTCGACTTGCATTGCCGGTTCCATTTAAGAATATTTTCTTGGTATTTTTTCTGGTCATCCATATTCCTTTTGTTTATCTTCCTTTCCATATTAAATATTCATTTTCGATATCTATACATGCAAGCTTAACCGGCCCCATCAGCTACCCGCTCGGTTCATTAGCATATGCTCGATGGCATGATGTACGTAATAGCAGTTCCTGGGTCGAGTTGGCATTACAGTGCGTCTATTAATTCTTTCTCTAAAACAGCCCCATCATAAAGAACTGTAATGTCAACTCCACCCAGTATTTTTCTCAACCTGGGACAGGCTCATTCCCCATTCTTTTAGAACTTGCAATGGGCTACCTGTGGAAGGCTAGGTCACATGGAACACCTGYAGTCGCGATTATTATAACATCAACATGGGAAAAGTTAAGAAAGTGAGGCAAAAATTGCACCAAAAAGCAGTACGATTCCCAGACGAAAAGCAAACTATAGATCCTATGAAAGCAAATGAGGTAATTATATAACCTTAACTTATAACCTATAGAATTATTAGGCACCTTGGTATCGTTGAGACTGGGTTTTTAACACATGTGTCTTGGACCTTTCTTTGTTGGTGTCTTCGATCTTACTTGGGCTATTGCATAAATATCCCCCCCCCCCCCCCCACGTCGAGGACCTAAGTTTGTATGAGCCCCCTGATAAATTCCCTGATAAATTCCTTGAGACATGAAGACCATAATGTGGAAGTCCCTGCTATTCATGACTTACTCCTGAAGAATACATGTGAAATCAGGATCCTCAACCCAGCACCACACAAACACAAAAACGACCCTGACCCCCGAAGAATTCCAGCACAAAAACATCCCTGACCCCTGAAGAATTCCATCACAAAAACACCCCTCAAGAAATTATTCCATTTCAAAAACACCCTCGACCCCCGAAGAATTCCGCGGTCCTCAACTGGGGAAGGGTGGGGGGCTTGGGGGAGGTTAAAAAATTAATGCAATAGCCTCTTGACATATATAAGCTTAGATCAAGATAATTTACTAAGGAATATATCTAAAATGGCTCGTATACTATCTAGAGTAAGGCTAGATTGGTATTGCAGATTTAGTTACGAATGAAATATTGGACTTGTGTATGGGGTATTAAACACTGGGTATAGAAAATTTTGATGCTTTGAAAATAATGTTATTCAGTTTGCAAAGAGTAATTTCTTTAATTGATCAAAAACTCTGTATTCCCTTTTTCCAGTCATCTTTACCATCAATTTTTCCAACAAGTTGTCTCTTCAATGACAAAGAAACAACCAAAGATGTATCAACAACCAAGAACACAACAGCCTCTAAAAAAGACAAAAGGAAGGAAAGACATGAAAGATTTCTAAAGAGTAGGTTAATCGATATTCCTCTTTACGGGCTTTTCACAACTTTCTAAAATGCTGACATGCCACATGAACTTTTAACAATTATTCGCCATAAGGCAAAGCGATTATATGTGAATATTTACAAAGCAGTGAGTCTTAGAGCAGCAAAGTAAATATTCTCTGTAATCACTGAGCCTGAGGTGAATAATTGTTTTATTATAATTTTAGACGTGAATATCAGAGAAAACACAAATTTTAGTATTATACTTCAGATCTGGCATGCAAACATTGGGAAACCTCACCATCACCACTCAAGCAGTGATTATCATCTCAGAATCACTGCCTGCTCAACCAATCAGTAACATGTAAAACTCTATATTTAAGTCTAAAATTATACTTTAAAAATTTTTTTTTATTCACAGTTTGAAAAGTTTGCCTGTCATGGCAATATAATTTTATGCCCTACTAATATTTAACAATTATTCACTGAAGGCAAAGTGATTATCAGGGAATATTTACCAAGACGTGAGTCTTCAAGCGGCGAGGTAAATATTCCCCAGTAATCACTGAGCCTGAGGCAAATAATTGTTTTAGTATAAATACACATGTGATTMTTTCAAAAAAAGAAAAAAAAGAAGATAAAAGGCAATTTTTTCCGGTAACAGGAACAAAGCGGCTGGCTGCCATTTTGGATTTTCGCTCGAGGTGATTTAATATCGTGTGAATTTCTTGATCAATCAGCATGCGAGATTTTCTATAATCCCCTGCATATTTTTACTAAAATATAATAATATCATACTAATATTATATTAATATAGGCAAATATAATTTCATGTCCTACTAAGCTTTTTGATTATTAATATTGAAAATGACAAGKTTTTGAAATATATACATTTATGTATTCAATTTTGTATTCCAAAATGCAAACCTCTCCTAGGTGATAATTTCTATAGTGATTTTCTCATTACAACGTAGACAAAAATACTTTTTTTAGAACTTCATGGAACCAGAGCTGTGGAGGAAAGTATTAAAAGGGCAGAGAAAAGAGCACAAACAGTCATCGTAGGGGATATGGAGCCACTGCTGTCTGCTTTACCTACAATAGCTCTTCCAAAGACTTCCAAGGAGAATAGGTAAGCTTTCATTTCTGGTCACTGTTATCATGCACGTACTGCTACATGCTGATGGAACCCAAAATTATCACATTTAGAGCAGGGGTATAGATCCAATGAAGAATGAAGAAAAATGAAGAAATGCATACAGATAGTATGCATCGTAAATGTTTTTATTTTTTTGCCTCAAAAACACCAAGGGTAATTACAGCATTAGGGGGGTGTCCGGTGCACCCCAGGACGCCCCCTGGATCCATTAGAAATGTTATTATCTAATAGAAGTAATCTCTAATTAATATTAAGGTAAAAGCCATTGCTTGTACTCATCTTACAGCAGCTATGGTCTTGGATTTGACTCCCAGATCTGACACTCATTAATTGAGTTCATTGGTTCCCTCCCTTGCTTTCAGGGTTTTCCCTGGGTAGTTATGCTCTGTCCACTAAAGGCAACAGTATAATTTTGATCTGAGTTGTACTGTAAGATTTCCATGGTAAGATATGGGTTTCTCATACTGTATGGTGGTGTTTCAATTCAACCACATTAAAAAATGAAATAAATAGCTCCTCTTTTATTTACAACAGTACGCAACCACAAATTTATAGCTGATAATCTAGTATTTGCTCCATGATAAAATTGGAATTTGGAGTATTTGTTTATTTATCATAGAGGGAGGAAAATGGCTAACGCCTGCCACGACAGGAGAGAATGGCCAACATGAAAAATTCAATATTTAAGTCATGGTGGTTGATCAGGGATTATGCTTATTGGTTTTGAAGGGACGGCACATCATCMGATACAAACTAACTTTTAATATATAGTGTATAATTAGTCTTAAATATAGCAGGGGTACAATAAGTTAAATTTAATAATTTTAATGTTCTTCTCAAATAGTGACATAGAAATGACATCATTGCTAAAATCGACAATCGAAAAATAAAAACATGCCTGCCATTGAAATGAAAATATGAAACTCATTAATTATTGACATTAGTGTTATCAACGTGATGATAAGAGTTTTTACAGTTAACAAAAAATTCCTAATTTTTATCAGTAATACAAACCAGGAAAATTCAAAGAAAAACAAGTTATCAAGGGCGACCAGACAAAAACAACAGTAAGTTTTACAAGTCTCCATATTTGTCCCTCTATTTGATGTGAGTCTTCTGTACGTGTTGGGCATTTTTGTGCACTTAAGCAGTAAGATCAACATGTCTCTCATCAGCTGCATTATCCCACAAAATTAAAAGTAAACACTATGTGTATAAATTATGAAACCTACAAGGTACTCGAACATATCCCCTCTTCTGTACTGACTCCATGTATCCAGTGTCCACTATATCTCAGGATCTCTAGCTAGCTAGTGCACAAGATCCAGGCATTTAGTAACACTGTTGTATGGACTTGAATCCAATTCTTCCTTCTCATCCCTTAGAGATGTTATAAAATTTTGAAGATTTTGTATGAAATATTTCTTTTTCAGAAATGCTGACATTGAGCATTTTAAACAAGTGTTAAAGCATCCTTCCTACCAGTCCAATCCTATCAGTGCAATATCAGAACATTTGAAAATTGCAGTTCAAAGAGAAGCTGATCCCAAAACATGAATAACATAAATAATTTGACATGCTATTGAGTAATTTTGGATTTTTTTTTTTTTTTTTTTTTTGTGATTATCAATAATGGTTTCTTGTGTATGTGTCTTTGTGTTATGAACTGCTCTGGATGAGTGATATGTAAGAGTTAATTACCGAGAACGGAGGCAATAAGCCATATACTGTACATGTATAGGCCTATTCCCGACGTTCGAGGTAATTTTAATTAAATACTTAAAAGTATTTTATTCATCGATTGAGAAGGCTTTCTATCAAATATTTATATATTTGACTTAAGAATAACRAAAATAAATTTTAAAAGATATTTGAAAAATAATAACCTGCATGATCGAGGCTGACGAATTGAACTGAATTGCTCATTATAAATGCGAGGTCAATATATAGTTATTAACTGGGTTAATAACTATATATTATTGACCTCGCATTTGTTATAAGAGTTATGACAATGATAAAGCCTTGTGAATAACAAAGAAAACAGCGTCAATTGATAAATAACCACTATTAGTCACTGGATATAACTATTTTTCAGTATCAATTTCGATTTTATTTGTTCGTGGTTTCACTGCATGCGATCTAATGACTTACAATACTTTGTTTATTCAACCTCTTGCAGCATTTTTAAGCTAAATTACAGGCAAGGTCAGTCACTAATAATTAATCAATAAGAAATATAGAAAATTAATAATGTACAAATTTAATAATAAATATAGGAAAATTTATTGAATTTAATCGCGTGCGCATTAGTCACTAAAGTGTGGAAACGATCAGTAATGGTTTCCTTAAGATATAAAGTAGGTTTAACAATCTCTCTGATCTAGGCATGACAAATGATAATGCACGAATTTTTCAAGGTATGTATGCAACTAACACAGAACCACTACTGGGCCTATTGAAACAATATACACTCCTGACTTGGTCTCACAACCAAGGAGAGTCAGCGTTTCTACAGAAGCTTCAACAACAGATCCAGTAATGAAGTAATTCAAGAGAGCATAAATAAGAAAGGGAAACTTCTGTTTTGATCACAAAGCGAAACGGAAAGAGCGCGCGCGTGCAAGTTAATGACGCACGGGAGTAGGGTAAGGCGAAATTTAAACTGCAGTTACTAAAAATAGCCCAACCGAGAATTTACATCTTATTTATGCTCTCTTGAATAATTCGACCCCAAGAYGGCAGCTCATTAGGACTCGGTACAATTGTAGTACAGAATGAAAACGCATTTGCCCATGCAAGTAGGACACTAACTAATTACAACTAATAACGCCGGGCAACGTAATAGAACCCAGTACCCCAGACACGTAGCAGACACGTCCTTTGGTAGGCTTATGGTATATACTTATTTCAATAAAGTTTGTCACCAAAACCTAGAAAGCTGTGATCCCTGAGAATCATGGGAAAATGTTTTATATCCAACAAGTAAAGCTTTTGACACAAACTGCAGCAGTTGAGGATGCTCAGAGGAGGTTAACTTGTAACTGGTAGAAGATCTCAAGTCCATCAACAGTTATCAAGCGGTTGAAACATGTAAAATGTATATTATACCCATCATCCTTGTCGGTCTCAGCTTTGTTGCTTTTCAGGTGACTAACTTTATTGAAATAAGTGTATGGGGTTGCGAACATAATGGGTATAGCAGCTTATAGCGATACTCCAAAGCATTTCAAAGTCATAGCGGACCATAAACCATTAGATAACAATATGGAAGAAAGCAAAACCTCCCTTACGCATACAACTATATTTGCATCCAYATAAGTTTACAATCAAGTTTAGACCAGGAAATAGACAAGAACAGAAAATTGTAAAACTTTATGCTAATTTTATAGCTGACACGTTTTAAAACAAAATACTGAGGACAGAAAGATGATTACTGCCGATACTGAACAACTAAGGCCCTGGCTAAACGAGGAAACATTTTGCCAGAAACATGTTTACTGCGCGCATGTTTCCTCGATGTTTCCCAGTTTAGCCACATGCGAAACATTGCTGCGTGCRACAAATTTTGCTTCCAAGACGCAAAAAATGTTTTTGCTGTGCGGCAGAAAAATTTCATGTTTCCAAGACTCATGKAAACATTGTTTCCCGACGTTTCCTGACAGTTTTGCCACCTTAGGAAACATTTAGGGAAACATGTTTCTGGAAACGTTTCTTTGTTTAGCCAGGGCCTAATAACTGCGCAAGATCTAGTGCTCTTAGCAAGCTTGGAATTCTTGTAGCGGGTAGTAGTGACGTCACAAACTGCCCATAGGAATCACTGCTTTTTGTGTGATTTTCCATCGGCGCGCCGTTTTAATTTTTTATTTATCAAGATTTCTCAWACTCTTTTTAAAATTTTTCAAATTTACCAGCAAGTTCTTTTTTTCCGTGCCGATCTATTATATAATCGTCTAATTTTATGCCATATTAATTGTCTCACTTAGCGGCTATTAGTGCCGCTTATTTAGCATATGTTTTTACGCCGCAATAACTATTAGTTGTTTTATATATATATATATATACTAAAACTGCAATTTTGCAAACGACGTCAATTACGAAATGGCTAGGAGTTCTTTTAGATTCATTTAGAAAGGCGATTCATTTAGAAATGCGTTGGGCCAAGTTCAGTGCGACTAAAAACAACGTCGATCAGTCATTTTTAACTGATCTGTTTGGAATCTCTTTGTAAAAGGTGCTTACCATTAGACATCAGTTCACGAAGAAACGCTTTTAACTAAGCAACTTAATCATTCGTCAAAAGAGGAACAAATCAATGTTATCAGACGTAAATCGCGATGTGTCTCTCAGTTCGACATACTTTATATCTTCAACATTTTTCTCCTCAGAATACAACATCTTCCCGGCTAACGCACTGTCGAAAGAACGGTCAATAGAAAGCATTGAGCAAAATAATAATAAAACTGGCAAAAAAACAAACAAAAATACAAACAAAAAACAATAATTCATTGCGTGTTTCGAGAAAGTTTTCATTTGAAAGGGATTTTAAAAAGCTTTCAATCACTTAACGTAAGACGCCAGCAGGCCGCGAACGCCGAAACCCGTTTTCCCATGATCCATCAACTGCACACAGTGGGACATTATTAACAGTCAAATTTCTAAAAGCTTTTTTTTCCTCTAAGTTTAATTGCTTTATTAGAAAGAAAAACTAAATCACTTGACGAAGAGATTAAAATCAATTGCCCTCAGATTAACTAGATTGCAATGTTTTGCATAATCTTTGGGCACTTTAATGTAAACACACTGTCATAGGAAAACAATGTGCACAAAGCGACACGGACAAATCAGTTAGTTTGAATTTGTTTGCTTTAAAACTCCAGTCTTTTCAGAAGCTTTCTCTCCGTTTGTTTTTGCTGGCGATGGAATGCGACTGTTCATTTACACGCTGTTTTGGTAGTCGCCTCGACGTCACATAACTACCACGAACAACTAGACGCTCACGGAGATGCGGGAAAAAATTCTTGTCAAATCTTCTAGGATTTATATTTTCAAGGAGAAACTTCAATGAATTGATCCTAACGTTATCGTCATAATGGCTGCTTCTTATCCTTGTAAGTACTGAGGGACTTTATATGAGCTGTTTAGCTCGATCCTACACTAACATATGAAAGTACATATGTTTTTCACCGCTTAACAACCTTCCCGGCCCTTTGTTTGAATTTAATTCCCATATATCCAAAATCACTGATCAACCGAGTCTCAAAGCTGCCTCCGTTCGCCATGGTAGAATCCAACGATTGAAAATAACCTAGAAAATCTTGCTGTTGGCTTGTCAAGGCAAGTTTACCGAGGGATAAGTATTGACATCGTTGAATACGTAAATAGTTCAGTCTTCTCTATATGTTCTTGAAAAAAACACAGAGCTCCCAGTTCACTAGGCTTTCTATTTCAACCACTTGTCAATTTGCGGACTTTGGTTTCGTCCTAATATCAGCCAGTAAATTAAAACAAAAAGTGTTTATGTCTCGGCATGACCGTAGGCAAAACTCCATGTTATTTAGTTATGGCGCTCGTACGTTAAATATTTCATTTTACCGAACGAGAATGATCGTAATTGGTTCACGTCCGAATGTTACATACAAATTAATTAGAAACCCGCGATCGTATGCGCAATRATTAAACATGATATTTATGGCTGGAACTATGATTTTCTATAATAGAATCGAACCATCTGCCAAATCTTTATTTATCCCTCTAAGTTTTTCCTGAATTAATTAAATTCAAACTGATGAATTTTAGAAAACTTTAGTTAGTAAAAAGAAAAAAAAATATATATATATATATAAAAGCTTCGTACCTAAAGGATCAGTCCTAAGGCTATTCTACGAAGTTGTTTGTCAGAAAAATATAACCGGTAACTGAAGAATTAAACCGATTTTAGAGCAGTAGGCCATTAACAGCAGCGACCTGAACAAAAAAAAAAAAAAAAAATAGACGCTGTGAATTATAATTTAGATATTTTAGTTGAGTAGTCCACATGCATGTTGTCTCGTTTTACTTGAGAGTTTGGAGTGAAAATTTATAGCATAAAAAATGCCGAATTATACACATTTTCCTTAATGGTTCAGGATCTCAGAGGCTCTTTCTCTATCTGTACGAAACTAAACTACTATACTTACGTCAAATATTCAATAGAATATCAAGGCGTAAGGAATAATAGACCGTCGCTGATAATGGAAAAATCGTTTATTCCTCATGTCTATCACTAGTGACAAAAGAGCAGCTGACATAGGAAAAAAGAGCTCGTAAATGAATGGTTCTAGTGACAATCGGGGTTTGACAGCGAAAATAAACCAGCCAAAGCCTAATAATAGTGTTCAATTATTCATTTCAAATCATTTAGTTATATCGCAAACTCGTGAGGGTTTATTACTCAAAACTACRCGCTAAACTGCCCCATAAAGCTGAAGAAACGTATTCCTCAAGAAAAATATAGACGACAGAAAAGAAAATAAGAGGTTGAAAGCAAGTATTCTTTCGTCTGGAGACTAGAAGAATCATAAAATCGAAAGCTGCTGTTGGTAAACGAATAAAGCTTAAACTTTCAACCGCTTTTCAGAAGAAAACTGCTCTTACTAAATTTAGACGAAAAGCTATTTTAGTCTCTGGTATTCGACAGCCCACATCCCGTATGAAGAGAAAGGTTGTTTTTCCAAAGTTTGATATACAAAGTCGAGCAGATAAATAGAGATGACATTTAAACATGGCGTAATACCTAGTCCGCGTCTGTAAAACAAGTCTGGCGAAACTTAGACGAATAGCCATTTTAATCTCTGGTATTTGACAGCCCACATCTCGGCCATACAGGGAGAAAGCGGTTGTTTTTTCAAAGTTTGATATAAAAAGTTGAGCAGAAAAATAGAGATGACATTATGGCATAATACCTCTGCGTCTGTAAGACCTACATAGCAAACCATGGCGACCTACGGTAAACAAAATTATCCCGAAATGGTAGATCTAGGTAAATATGATGTTTGCACGAACTGATTATTCAAAAGTATGCTTAGTGAACGTAGTTGCGGAAACGTTAGATAAATTTGGCCATCTGCCATAATGAATGGCGCGCTGTCCCAAGAGAAACTTGTCAAGAATCGTCACCTAGCTAGCCTCATTCAAAACCCTTTATTTTGAGTCAGCAACAAAATCGTCTATTATAACTGCATTTTTTACGAAAACAAACAGGTTTCGTTCTATAGGCGATCTCTTTACGAAGAAAAATACACGAGATGTTTTTTTACGCTTTAAAGATAATATTATACAGGATTTGGTCTGCCTAGTCGCCGGAATAAAGAGATAAAAGCTAATGACAAGCATACCTAAGGGCCTGAAGTATCCTGGTTTGATTTTATTAATTCTAAGTCTTTAAATTGGTTTTGATGGATTAATAGTTAGCAAATACGTGTTGGAATTTTCATATTACAACTTTGTCGCACGAGGAAAGGTTTGTCATCTGTCCTGGCCATTGCCAAGGCTCTTTTCTTCATAGATATGAATTGATTTCAAAGAAATCATSGCTGATATTTTTCCGGGTTGCCTATCACTAGGCTTTCTTAAAAAAATATCAAAGATGGTATCCCATAATTTCTAATATACTTTTGATATACTTTTGTGTATATATATATATA